GTCGATAAGCACACAAAGAAGTACTCAACATCATTAGTCACTAAGGAAATCAAAATCAAAACCACAATGAGACACCACACTAAACCACTAAGCTGGAGGTGTGACTCAGAGGGTAAAGCACCTGCCCAGCAAGAGAGAGGTCCTGAGTTCCAAACCCAGTACCACAAAAAAAGAAAATAAAGGAATATGACAGGGGCCAGGGAGGTTAAGAGGAAATTAAAACCATTCCATTGCTGGTGGGAATGTAAAATGTTGCAGCTACTGTGGAAAAATAGTTTGGTGGTTCCCTAAGAAGGTAAATTACCATGTGATCCAGCAATTCTACTCATAGGTATAGACCCCCCAAAATTGAAAGCCTACACTCAAACACATATCGTACATCAATGTCCACAGCAGCAATATTGGCCATAGCAAAAAGGTATAAGCAACCCAAGTGCCCACAAACAGATGAATGGATAAACAAACATAGTATATATGTGCAATGGAATATGTTATTGTCAATAAAAGGAATGAAATTCTGACACATGTTACATGGATGACCCTTGAAAACACTAATGTAAGCAAAATAAGTCAGACACAAAAGGACAAATATTGAATGATTCCACTTACACAAGTATCTAAAGTAGTCAAATTCATAGAGACAAAAAGTAGAATGGATTTTACTGGAATGGGGGAACAAATGGAGAGTTATTATTTAATGGACACAGTGTCTTTTAGGGATGATGAAAAGTTCTGAAGATGGATGGCAGCAAGCTGCACAACTTTGTGAATGTTTTAATGCTGCTGAACTGTATACCTGAAGATAGCCAAATGGTAAATTTCATGTTATCGACTCTTAGCTCAATTAAAAAGGCAACTGCACTTTTTAAAGGCAAGCCCTACCTGCCTGGCAGCATTGCTTTAAGATCCCAGAGAGAAATACCTCTATTGCCAGACAGCTGTTATAAAACAACCAAACACTGAGCCAAAGCTAATAGGTCAAACAACAGAGTATTTTACAACATCCAGCCCTGTGTATCCATGGGCTCTGCACCCCCAGATTCAACCAACCATGAGTCGAAAACATTCAGAGAAAACACTGTGTCTGTACTAAACACATACAAACATTTTTTCCTTGTCATTATTTCCTAAATAATGGAGCAAAACAAATATTTACATAGCATTTACATTGTATTATGTATTATAAGTAATCCATGGATGATTTAATGTATATAGGAGGATGTGGGCAGGTTGTATGCAAATACCAACCCATTTTATAAAAGACATTTGAGCATTGGTAGATTTTGGTATCCTGGGAGTCCTCAAACCAATCCCCTCTATGGATACCGAAGGGTGATTGTCCCCCCTTCTTCTCTTAACTTCCATGATATGACACTATCCTGGTTTTGCCCCTTTAGCTGGCATTCTCTCTCTCTCTCTCTCTCTCTCTCTCTCTCTCTCTCTCTCTCTCTCTGGGGGTGGGGGGTGTAATGTAGTTTATTAAAAGTGAGAGAGGGGAATTATAAAAAGCCATGGTAGGACCAGGTAGAAGCTGGAAGAGTTTTTCATTTCCAGGTGCTTTTAAACCTGGAGCATATGGAAAAGGAAGAACCTGGTGATTCCCAACCAATAATCGATGAGTGTCTCTCATAGGATCCCTTTTTTTCCCTCTTATCCTCTAATGTCCCCCACATGCTGGATGCAGTCCTCTTTTTGGCTCTCTGGCCCATGCCTCTCAGTGAACCTCACAGCTATAACTGTTATCCATACATAAATCTCTCACTCAAATTCCAGCCCCATACTTCAAGATATTGGGTTCATTCATTCATCAGATGCCCTCTTGGCAGTTCAAAGTCAATAAGGTCAAAACCAAGCTCACTATCTCCCCTGTAGCTCAAAAGAGCCCCCTTGCTGCTTCTGTCATCACTATCCTCCAGGCTGTCAGGTTCAGAGCCCTAGGCCATCTTCAGCAGCACCTCTAGCTCTCCCACATCAGCTGGCCTGTTCACATCCCCAGCTCCAGCTTCTGGCCCCCGCTTTCCATTCCCACTGTTTTTACTTGGTCCAAGCCTTATCAACTTCATGTCAGTCTGTAACAAAATTTTCCTACAGTTGCTCTCCTTGTCCTCACATACATCGTGTGGCTTCCAGAACCCACTCCCTAAAGCTACTCCTTACCCTACTTTCTCCCTGTTTGAGACTTTCCAACATCCCACTGCCTATGTTCAAGTATCAGTTCTTTTTCTGTCTTTCAAAGACCCCTGACTCTGATCTCAACCTGATTCCGGTCTTTTTATCTTTTCTTTTTATTATTGTTGTGCTGGGGGTACCCCCTCCATCATTCTCCTTTATCCCCCTTCAATTTCTGGAATAGCTTCAACAGGTCTCATTTTTCCATTAACACACATGTGTACATAGTATTTCCACTATATTCTCCCTCATATACCCTTTTCTTATATCCTACCCCTCCCACTGGTGCCAATCTCCCAGACAGGACCTGGTTTTTTTGTTGTGGTGGTGGTGGTTTTGGGTTTTTTAGGGGGCTTTTTTTGGTTTTTTTGGTTTTTGGTTTTGGGGTTTTTTTTTTGCCTTCCTGTTCTCTGACTTCAGTCTTATCTCTCTGCTATCATTGGGATCTGGAATGTCCCCCAAAGGTCCAAGGCTTAGTCGCTGGCTTGGGTGTTATTGGGAGGTGATGGAAACTTTAGAAGGTAGATATAATGGAAAGTTTGAAGTCATCTGGGGGTGTGCCCTGGAAGGGGACTGTAGGACCCTGGTCTCTCTCTTTTCCACACCCAACCACCGTGAGATATATGGGCCTCCTCCACCACAGGCACCCACAATGATGTACCGTGAAAAGCAATGGGGCCAATCTGTCATGGACGAAAATGTTCAAAACTGAGGGCCAAAACAAACCTTTTGCCTTTTTAAGTTTATTTACCTCAGTTATTTGTTGTAGTAACAGAAGGCTGATTAACACACCCTCCTTCATACATTTGTATGTAAGATCCCACCAGGGGACTTACCTTGGTTATTGTTGGGTACTCCTTGTGTGCTTTTTGTCCCTAGTCTTCTTCTCCCCCTAAAAATGCCCTTCTCCTATCATGCCACCCAACCTCTTCAGTGGGAATCCTCCTCCAGGTCACAAGTTACTTCCTGCATGGAGTCTTCCATAATTCCTTCTCATGGAAGCAACCTCCCCTTTCTGGATGAGGGAGACTTTTTATGCCTCTGATATGACAAGTCTACAATTGTTATGATTATTTCATCTTAAGAAAAATTAATAAATGTATACTCCTTTGTGCCCAAGATGTGTTGGGAACTGGGGATCAGGGCCAAAGAAATGGTCTCCACTCCTGTGTTAGTCAAAGTCAGGGGGAGATGTAACATGTTTTACTGCAATCCAAGGCCAAAAGCAATAGCTGTTTCAATAGAAGTGTGACCATGTTTTGGATACATGAGATGGAGAGGGGCTGTGAAATAATAACATTGGAGCAATGAGAAAAGCCTTCATCTCACAGGCAACATGAAGACCTCGTTTGAATCTTGATTTGACCAAACCAAATATCAAAGGACATTTTGAGAAAATCAGGAAAAGGTGAACTGGATTGAATAATAGATGCTACTAAGGATTTATTGTTAATGTTCAAATTATTAATGATGATGGTTAAGTTATTAATGGTACTACATTCTTTTTATAAGCACTTACCTATTAGAAATATGCACTAAAGTATTTGTAAGTGAAATGATATAAAATTTAAGGTTTTCCTTAAACTAGTCCCAAAATAAAAGCAGACAATAGATAAAATAAGAATGGGAAAAGTATTGATAATCACTAAAGCTAAGGATGGATATATCAGGGCCTCTTATATTATTTTCTCTACTTTTATGTCTTTTTGAAATCTTCTATGATCAGGACATTTTTAACTGGCTTACTTTGGTAGACTGTCAGCTCCTTTGGGAACCAGACTTCTTTGGATCACCAATTCTTATCCAGAACCTGGAACAGAACAGGTGACAGGTACTTGCCCTATGAATGTTCTGTGTCAAGTTTCTTCTGTGATCACACCAGCCCTGTTGCCTCCCCTCTGACTGTCACAGAAGGCCAGGGTGAAGAGCTAGAGGAAGCAAGCATGACTTCGAGCTGTTTACAGGGAATGTGCATGTTTTAGATCAAGATTGCAACTGTGACAGTTTGGATGTGGTGTGTACCCAAATGTTCATGTGCCAAAAGCTTGACTTCTAATGATTGAGAAATGAGGAACCAATAAGTGGGTGGAGCCTTGTATGAGGTAATTAAGTTGTGCAGGCATCAGCCTGGTAAGGAATCAATGCCCATGTCTCAAGGGACTGGATTAGTTATCAAGAGAATGGGTAGTTAAAAAGTAAGCCCCTCTCCATGCGTCTGCTCTCTTCAACACACTCCACTCATCACTCACACACACTCCTACCATGTGATGTCATCTGCCATGTTATTACACAGCATGAGACCCTCGCCAAATACAGCTTCCCAACCTTGAACCTTTCAGCCTCCTTATAAATGTTCAGCCTCCTTATAAGTGTCCAGCCTCCAACCAGTATGTTGAAGCAACTCAAAACGAACTAAGAGACCAACACACCATTGAGACAAATGTTGCTATGGCATATTATCTACTGGCTCAAATGCTTCAGCCTGACAACACTAGAGGGATGCTGAGGGGAGGCATACAGCGAGCTCTCCCATTTTCTGTTCTAAAAAAGGGAAACTGAGGTCTAGAGCAGGGAAATAGGCCCAGCACATGACAGTGGGCAATTAAGCTCAAGAATTCCTCTGCCAGCCTGGAGCTCTGATTCCCTAAAGAGTAAGGAAATCAGAAGACCCAGATGAAATCCCAGCTCTGCTATGACCCTGCTGTGCAAGTCTGTCAAGTCACTTCCTAACTGAGCCTCAGTTTACCCATCCATGAAATGAAGGACTTTGAAGACCACTTTTCTGTCCAGTTCTGCCACTGCAGAACTGCTGGCCGGCTGCCTGCACTTACCACATGGTATGATGATCTGAGAAGATGTCTGCAGGCTGGAAGATCTCACCATCATAGTAACAGGGGCACTGGGCCTTGGGCACACAGTCCCCCCTGTCATCTTGGTAAAGCCCTGGGGGGCAGAAGCAGCCCTCAAGACAGACCTCGTTGCATTCTTCATCGGGGTAAGAGAGGGAGCGGCAGGTCAGGTTGCAAGGCGCCCCACACTGCAGGTATACCTGGCCCTGAGGGCAGCTCAGTGCTGGAGGAGAGGGAGAGTAAGGAAAGCTTCAGAGGAAACATTGGATGACAGAACATGGGGGCCACCCCTTGCCACTGTGACTCCCAGTTATATCTCTATGGTCCCCACCTTCCTTTTCCACTCATAGCACAAAAAGAGAGATCATGGTTTCTTCACCTCTCAATTCTCCAAGTCTAGGACACAGTACAAATCCCAGTAGATCTGAATATTTAAGAGAACTGAGAATGGCAGGTAAGCACATCTCCATTGTGAGCATGACAATAAGGATGCCATCTACTAAGCACCTACTGGGTGCCCTGCTCGTCACGTGGCAGGGCATATGTCTCACTCGATGAGTTAGCTCTCATCACCTTCCTTCTGTTTGTTTGGGATTTTTTTGTTTTGTTTTTGCAGTTCTGGAAATGGAACCCAGGGCCTTGTGAAAGCTAGGCAAGCATTCTACCACTGAGCGACATCCCGAGCCCTCTTTCTATGTTATTACTCATAGAAACTGAAACTTGAGCTACGTAACTTGTCAGGGTGGTGCTTCTCAGAAGGAAAGATTTGAACCCAGCTCTCCTCCGCAGCCCTAAAGCTCATGTTTTTTCTCATTATACATTAAAAGAAAAACAGTCCCTTCGAGGACACACAAATCACAAAAGCAGGGACACTCTTATACCTACTTCAACAAAATAGGCAGTCCCATCTGCCTACAGGCCTCACTGTCCCTGGCCTCTCACGTAGAAATGCAGAAATTCCGCAAGAAACAAAAGCCAAGAGAAAAGACAGCAAAGCTCTAAAACAGCTAAGAGAATGGACTCTGTACCCCAAATACCCAGGTTCAAGGCCCAGTTCTACCACTAGCTAGCATGTTAGTTTGTGCAGCACCCTCACTGGAATATGGTAACAATATGGTCGCCCACTGGGGTCTTTATAAAGGTTAATAAACCAATGTGTTTGGAATAATGGCTGGCACATGGTAACTGTTCACCACCATTATTATCATGAATATTGCTGGGGAAACACAGCCTCAGCTCAGCAGCCTCCAGATGGAGGGAGTTTCCAGAGAAAAGGCTAAACCTAAAAAGACCTAACCCTCCTGCATTGTGGCCAGTACATAACAATGGTCTACAAAACACACTGATGATAAAACACTTTGCTGGCAGGGTGAGCAGAGCAGGGGAGGGGAGGGGCTTACTTTACCCCTCCAAAATGTTTCCCCATTGCCCATCAGCTGCTGTCTGAGAAATAAGAACCTCGCTCTGGGCACACTCCTCCTGGGACATTACAATCCCTCCCTCTCTGTTACACTCCATTTCTGCAGCAGAAACCCACTGGCAAAGAATTTCACAGAAAGTTCTGTGAGGGTCAGCCCTGGCACCAAACCTCTGGCGCAACCCTGAGCCTTCCCTTCCCACAGCCACCTTGGACTTGGTGTTTGAAGTAGGTGGGAAGGGAGGGGACTCCCTAATCACGTGAGACATTGACTTTCCTCTGAAGGAGCGGAGAAGTTGGGCCACTGGATGAATGTGCAGAGGGAGGGGAGCGTCCCGCGGAGCATGCCGGCCAACAGAGACAACACTCACTTTCAGTCCATTGCATCCGCAATGACAAGGACATGTTTCATCCACTAAAGAGCAGCTAGAATCAAGAGGGGGTTTTGTTTGTCTCTAGCGCTGGCTTGGAGCCTTATTCATTTCTCCTTTAGTCTTCTTCCCCAAAAGAGATAATAAACACCTCAGTTTAGCAGACATTTCTTGTGTTCCCACTGTGTACTGTGCCAGATTCAGAGATGCAAAGATGGAACAACTTGGTTGCTTTTTTCTCAAGGAGCCTGTAGTCTTGTCTTTCCAAAGGAAATACAACCATTTAATGAGGAAAAAAAATATACATGTGCTCCCAAGTTGACTTTCAGCATCCCACAAAGTAGCTACATGGCAACTCCTTGCCCCATGAATGTCTCCAACTAATGTGACTTCTTCTTGCGCATGGATGTAGTGGTTTGAGAGCTCCATCCATTTCTCGGAAAGGGAAAATGAAGTCTGGGTCCAGGAGACAGCAAACCTGAGCTCATCCTTAAGTTGAGAACAGAAAGAGGTAAAAACCTAGGAGACTGGCCTACTCTCCTTGTACTCAAAGGAACAACCAGAGGCTATCTGTCACATAAACCCATAGAGACAGGCACCTCTTGTCCTTAAACATCTCCAGAAAGGGTTCTTCCCTCCACCCAAAACTTTCTGCTGCATCATAAGGCCTTGGGAGGCAAGAAAGCTCTAACCCAAATCTCAGTCCCTGCCACTGCAACGTCAGCCTGGGGCCCTGTTCTGTTCCATGGAGGCAAAGAACAGCTGCTCTTGAGAGATGAAAGAATGTTCCCAAAGTTCCTTGGCATTCAGAGAGAATTAGGAAAGCCTTCCGAAGTCGTAGCCTTCAGATACCATGTAATTTCTAATAGTAGTGGGAAACTCGGCACATTCAGAAAGAGCACATCACTGGCTCATCGCTTTCCCAATTTCGAGGCGGCAGACACTAATGATGGAAGAAGTTCGGAGGGTTACGGTCACAGAGCTGCCAGGCAAGCTGCTGGGAAGGCCTCAGCTCAACTGTTCTGATGCCAGTCCCCAGTCTCCCTGTGCCATCCCAAGGCTAGAAGGTGAAGAGGGCACAGCTGCATGCATTTATACACTTGTTCCCTTTCATCCCTACTTTTGTCTCTGCCCTTCCTTTTGAGACTTCTTAGACTTGAAACATACATCGGTTCATTAAACCCCAAATAGTGACACTTCTAGAGTCTCCCACCTGAACTTCTCTTCAGATACATGGTTTTAGTTCCTTTACTGCTTCTCATAACTCCTGTTCTCCTGTTTTTGTCAGGGCCAATTACATTTTTCATCTCCAAACATATGTACTCCACCCTAAATGTCAGAATACCCACTATATATGGTACCCTAACAGAATGTCCACCTCACTTCATTAGCGCTACTATTCCACCAACTCCTCTCTGCCAAGAAAGCACATTTTTAAAACCACGGTCAAGTACACTTCTTCCAGAAAGCCTTCCTTAGCTGTGCCTGCTCTTCATCTACTCATCCCTTTACTCAGTGTGATGGCACCTCTGAAGACAGCCTCAAAAAGGATGGTTTGAGTTCCATATCATCTGCTATTGCCTGACCACACTGGATACTCAGAAAATGTCCCCAGAGCAAGGACAACACCTAAAACGTGAGCACACTCTAGCCACCCATGGGACCATAGTGTGGGAGCAGAGACCAAATCTGGTACCAGGAATCTACCAGCACAGAGGGTGGATGTGAAGTCAACCAGGACAGTGATGTTATTCAACTTTACACAACTTTATACAATGCCACAGGCTTGGGCCCCACAGCCCACCAATGGCTTGCCTGAAGTTACAAACACAATAATTCCACCCACTGCCTTCTTTGGACTGGGACCCACCCACTCCACAACCTGACCATACATGGAGTGAACACTAGGTGGCAGCAGCCACAGGAACTCTCTGCTTGGTGGGGACTCCATCCTGCTAGGGCTCCAAGTAGGGATCCCAAAGCCGGTCCTATGAAGGCCCACCACGTCTTGCTGGGAGATGGAAGAGGAAAGTGACTGCAAATGAACTGTCCCACAGTCCGGGCTTGTCAAAATGCCCTGGGCTGATGTCCAAATGAAATAATGCAGAGAAAGTGCCTTACAAAGGACACATGGACAGAGACCCCCTCCTTCTCCTCCACTGCCAGGGCATCAGTGGCGTTTGGGTGGGTTGCCTGGAGGGAACACCCACCACAGAAGCTGGGCTCACGCCATCCCACGTGCACGCCTCTCCGGGCACAGGCGGCAGCATAGCTGGCCACAGCACTGCACAGGCAATCCTGGCCATCAGAGCAGGAGCAGACATCATAGCGGCAATTCCGCAGATAGGGCAGGGGGCTGACCACATGGTGGCAGGCCTCGAACTTGGAGGATGTCAGGAGTGCACAGGCCTCTTCTGCGAACGTGGCTGTGGGAGAGACACAGGAGCAAGCCCAGGATGACAGGACCCTGCCACACCCTCTGGGTCCCACCACAGGGGGCCTCTGACACCCATGGCCCAGGAACCAGCAAGGTCTCCTGCTGAATCCCCACACCCACTTCTCCATCAGCAACACAACTCTGGCTGTGGCTTCTGTAGCCAACTTGCTTTCCTAATTATACTTGGCTCAAATGCAAATTAAACTGATCCCAGAACACACACCTACTGACCCACGAGAAAGTGACCAACAGTGAGTGGTTGAGTAAGAGGGGAAGTTAATGGAGTGCTGAATGCTCCTGAACAAGGCCACCCTACTCCATTTAGCCTACAATAAATCATCTCTGACCTCACACAACTGCTGTCCCTGTAGATTGAGAACATCCCAGGCCAAAAGCTATTTATTATTCTTTTCTTTCTCAGGGTTTCTCCCAAGGAGGGTGTTCAATAAAAAGAATGAAGAGTAAATGAGCCAGCTGCAGATAATCAAATGCTGATGGCAAAAACAAAGGCCCACCCAACCCCTTGCTTCATGGACTAACACACACCCACAGTGGGTACGCTGTCCCATGGAGTGTTCTGGAATGTGGGAGACCCCGGGGTTTTGCAGCTCACATACTCAGGCGTGGGTTGAGGCTGCAGGGGTCACTGTGTTGCTTCTGCAGGTCCTGGCATTCCCCATGCAGCTTCCAGGCATTCCCAAAGTCCACAACCAGGGGCTCCACCAGGCCAGCAGGGGTGAGGAAGTCGTCGCCCTTGTTACCGTTGTAATTCCCACACAAGCCGCAGGTCTTCCCTGAGTAAACTGGGGAAAGCTGCAAGGACAGACCAGGCCACCTTGGATCAGTTGCCACCAATGCAGCTTGTGTTTAGCTTATGAGATGGCTTAAGTCAAAAAAAAAGTTCCTCCAGTAAAAAATAATTACAAATGACAGCAAAGCCCTAAACCAGCAAACTACAACTACGTGCTTGTAACTCAATCCTTGGTCAAGTTGTGCTTGGACCATTGATCAGAGAGGAATAATGCCAGAGGGATTCTGAGGATTATGCAGTCAGTTAAAGATGGAGCAACTGAGCCCAGGGAGAAGTGGCCTGCCAAAGGTAGTGGCAGAGTTAGGATGAGTACATAGGCTGAGCTCCCTGTGTTCATGCCTGTCAGAGGAGACAAGCTAAGCCCCAGTCTCATGAAAGTCAAGTGCAAACTCAGCACCCATCCAATGAACACTTAGAAAAGTCACCTGGGCAAAGCAGGCTGGGTCAGGTGCAGTCTGAGCCCTCTTCACCTTCAATAACTAGGAAAACACCTTCCTTCTAACCTCCTGTACTCACCTGAGCTGTGAATATCACCAAAGAGAAAAAGACCCCCAGTCAAAGGGACTCCAGAGGGGATGGTTGGAGAAAGGGGAGTCAGCAAGAACACTGGGGCAGCCTGCTGTTCAGTGACCAGGAGGGGACCAGGGCTCAGACTCCAGGCATCACTCATTGTCTGATCTCAGAGCACTATGAAGCTCTGAATCCAAAGTACAAACAGGGGAATGGAACCTGCCTTTCACCTGGGACAGCTGGGGCACCTGCTGACTTCTGTTAAGAAGACCCTGATTTGAAGATACAGCAGGGACTGAACCCAAAATTCCTGACTCCAGCTCTGTGGATAACTAATGAGGCCTACTGACCTCCCTGTGTTCTGAAGACCTGGGCCCTTATGATCATCTCTTAAAGCCCTTGCCTGGTCTGACTTAACAAGGTATGTGATGAGCAATCCAGTAGAAGTTTCTAGACCCACAAAAAAAAAAAAAGAAAGAAAGAAAGAAATGTACCTAAGTGACTGGGTGCAGTGGCTAACACCTGTAATCTCAGCTACTTGGAAAGTAGAAACGGGAGGATCACAGTTTGAGGCCAGCTTGGGCAAAACATTAGTGAGACCCTACTCAACAATAAGCCAGGTGTGCTGGGGCACACCTGCAATCTGAACGATTTAGGAGGTTGATATAGAAGGATCTCAGTCCAAGGCCAATCTGGGCAAAAGTGTGAGACCCTATCTGAAATAGTAACTAAAGCAAAAGGGCTGGGGGAGTGGCTCAAGTGGTAGAGCATCTGCCTAGCAAGCGCAAGGCCCTGAGTTCAATCCCCGATACCACCAAAAAAGAAATATATACATATATATCCTTAATAAACAAGAGACAGTGTGACACTTCCTTGTTTGGTTTACAAATGTCCAGAGTTGTCACACACATTATGCACCAAGGCCCTGATCTCCCTGCTTAAAATTCAAATCCCCAACCCTGGTGTTTCCTGCCCCTTCCCTGTTTTATTTATCTCCCCAGACTTCATTCTAATATATGATATAATTTGCGTGTTTGCTTTGTTTATTGTCTGTCTCCCCCACTCGAATTTAAACTCAATGAGGCAAGGATTTGTGCCTGTTGCAATTCACTGTTTTACCTTTAACATCTAGAATGGCATCTGTCTTAGTCAACTCTGGTTGCTGTAAAATACCATAGACAGGGCAGCTTACAAACAATAGGAACATATTTCTCCCGGTTCTGGAGACTAGAGGTCCAAGAACAATGAACCATCAGATTCGATATCTGGTGAGGGTCCCACTTTCTGTCTCATAGATGGCACCTCTCGTTGTGTCCTCACATGAACTGGCTGGGGCCTCTTTTATAAGGACACTAATTCCATTCATGAGGGCTCTGCTCTCACAACTTAGCTCTGTCCCAAAGGCTCCATGTCCTAATTCCATCACCTTAGGAGTTAGGGTTTCAATATATTAATTGTGAGAGTGGGGGGAAACACAAACATTCAGTACCACAGTGCTAGAGAGCACTGAATAAATATTTGTTGAATGAATGGTTGAACAAGTAAAAAATTAATTAATGCATGAATAGGTTCTCTCCTGATCCAAGCCAACAGTCAAGGCCTGCTTGAGCAAAACAGCAAAACGGTGACAATCCTTTATTCCCCTCCCCCACTTCTCAGCATTTTCCCCCTCTCCTCCTCCTTCTTAGACACATCGGGTGCCCTCATGTTCCCCAAAGCTGCCATGTCCATCCCACCACCAACCACCACTTCCATCCCCACTCTGGAAACAATTTCTCCATTAGTTCCCTTGGCTTGTCTCGTAGGTCACCTTGGTCAGGAGTTGGAAGCATAGCTGTCTCCAAGGACACAGGGACGTGGCTGGCTGGGATCCCGTAGCATCCCAGCTTAGGACACTTTGAGAAGACAATTGTGTTGGAAACAGACCTGTGCTCAGTGACTATTCTGACAAGGTGGTGTCTGCTGAGGCTGAGCTGGGCCTACAGGGCAGCCCACTGAGCCGGCTAGTCACGGCCTTACTGCCCAGACCCAGCTGCATGGCAACTGGGTAAATGTACCACACAGGTGGAAAGGAGACCAGAGGGTCCCTGGCAGCCTGTCATCCATCAGTGACTGTTCCCAAGCACCAGGAACTAGCCCTCACGCTCCCCACGCTGCCCACCACAGACTCCCCCTTCAAACCAAAACCATAGAACAGCCCTCACACCATCTCCTGAATCTTGTCTGAATTCTCAACTTCTTAGCAAAACCCACCCCTCAGAGAACCCTCCATCCCCATTCCCACAGAAAGGAGTCTAGATCTTTCCTCAGAGGACAAGGCGGGCAGCTGCCCACGACGAGAAGATGAGAAGTCCTGAGCCTGCAGAGTATACACTCTGCTATGTGGAGGTAGCTGGGAAGGTGGATCCCTCTCTGGATGCTTGAGGTGCAGGAGGTGAGATTTGACAGGGACCAGGAGATCCGAGATCTTGTAACCAAATGCCCAGAGACCCAGGCAAGATACTCTGGCTCCAGAAATGCTGGGTCTTTATTTCCAACTGAACATAGAGAGGGGGCAAGAGAATTTCCCAGCCCTTCCTGCTCTATAGTCCTGGCTTTATTATTTTATAAAAGAAAAAGAAGAAAGGAATTAGTTTGAAACTCTCTTAGGGGCTCTAAAATAAAAGAATGAACCTGATCACATGAGAATGGGGAAGCAGAATCTCATAGGAATTTCCATATCTGTCACAGGATTATACTAAGGACCCTGGGTAACAGGGACCCCAGGATGCAGACGGGGGCTCTCCAAAGATCCTAGACGCATGACTTATTGCAGCGGTTCTCAAAGTGTGGTCTTGGTACCCAGAGAGGTCCCTGAAGCCCTTTTAAGGGACTTTCAAGACTGAGATTATTTTCATAATAATATGAAGTCATTATTACCTTTTCCCTTCTCGGTCTCTTACAAGTACACAGTGGAATTTTCCAGAGGCTACATGACACACAATATTGCAAAAGATTGATTGCAGAAGTAGATAGGGAACTCCAGCTGTCTTCTATTAAGCCATTCGTTAAAGAAATTTGCAGAAACGTGCAGCAGTGGTACCCTTCTCTACTTAGCTTTGTCTCCTGGCTCCTGTCTAATTTTATTTTTCAAGAAAAGTGTATTGTTTATGTAATAATATAAACCTACATGTAGTAGGTTTAGTATTGTGTTTCTAAATGAGTTAATAAATACATGTTTTAAATGTCTCTGATTAAAATTTTAACCTGGGAACATCATTGGATATAACCTCATAAAGATCTTGGGATCAATAATAATTTTTTGTCAGTACTGGGGTGTGAACTCGGACTTCATGCTGGCTAGGCAAACATGACTTGAGGCATGCTCCCAGTCTGTTTTTTTTCTTTAGCTATTTTTCATATAAGGCCTTGCATTTTTGCCTTGGACCACAATCCTCCTACCTGTGTCACCCGTGTAACTGGGATCACAGTAACTGGGATACCACCATGTTCAACTTGTTTGTTCAGATGTGGTCTCACTAACTTTTTGCCCAGAGTTGGCTTCAAACTGTGATCCTCCCTATCTCTGCTTCCCAAGTAGCTAGGATTGCAGGTGTGAGCCACTGTGCTTGTCCTATTCAATAATTTTGGCAATACTGGGGGTTGAACTCAGGGCCTTGCACTGCTAGGAAGGAATTCTACCCCTTGAGTCACTCTGCCAGCCCCTACTCAATAATTTTAAGAGTCCAGCAACATCCCAAGACCAAACAGTGAAGCACAGTTCTAATGTGAAGACACTGGCCAGAGGACTAGTCCTTACTCTGCCATGACTGGGTGTGGAATGCTGGTGTCTCTCAACTTCCTATACCTTGCTTGTCTCTCTAAGGAAATAGCAGTAGTGATACCTGCCAGGGACTTTGCAAGGCAAACAATGTATATGGAAGCCCAGTCAAATGTGACCCACAGATGCAGAGGCCCAGTGACTTGGTGAGAAATGTGGCAGGTCCCTGGGTAACCTTTCACAGATGGGGCTGGGGATGGCTTTCTTCCCACAGGGTGCAGACACAGGGTCTGGGCTGTGTGTTCCAATCTGGTTCTTTCCTTCCTTGCTTCCCACAGTAGGCTCCCAGGGAGATACCCTCTGCCCCCAAGCCTTGTTGCAGACAGAAGATTGGTCAGTAAATCTGGCACAATGGCCCCAATGCTCAAGTTTGGGTCAACCAGATACCCGATCCCCATAAGGGAGAACCCCAAGGGCCAACAAGGGGTGCCTAGAAAACAAACATCAGCTACTCACAAACAAGAGAAGCCTGTTCCTTGCTCTGGAGGTGTAGGGCCTGAGAAGAAAGGAATTCTTCTCCCACCACACAAAGCCATTCTGCCCAGAGCACAAGGGGGACTTTGTAAGGGTTGGGCTCCAGGGAGGCAGTGGCTCGGAAAGGGACCTACCTTCACCAACAGCCTCCCGCGGCCATCCCAGTCCAGCTGCAGGTCCTCCCCATAGCTGAGGCGCACAGAGGCCATCACTGTGTGCTGGATGCGAAGGTCACCTGGAAGCCAAAAGGACAAGATGTAGACTGAGGTGGGGAGAGGGCAGGGTATGGCAAGCAGATGTATTGTACAGGGAGATTGGATGTCTCAAAAAAAGTGCCATAGCGATGACAAGCAAGGAGTCAGAGGCAGATGGGTGGCCAGGAGAATTAAGGAGAGGGTCTTAGGAGGAAGGGTGATCAGGGTGAACAGAAGCAAAGAGTTCCCCAAGAACAAGCTTCTGTACAGGGTAACTGTAGCCTGTCATTTCCCTCCCTGCCACAAGATGGAGGCAGAAGCACCCTCATCCTTAACTTTAGGCTGGTGCCTGGAGCTGAGGGATTTGTCTACCATTAAACCAGGATGCCTGAGCATGCCTGGGCTTGTACTGGCTCCCAGGCTGGTTAACTCAGTCCAAGTGGGTGAATGATGCTGTATGCAAAGGTGAATACAGTAGTGCTCACTGCTGTGGGAAGGTGGACACCAGATAGGAGCACACAACTTGCCCTAGAGAAACGTATGAGCTTATGGCAAGACACAAACACACATAGATACACCGTATACTCACAAGCCAAGTTCATCACTGCATGCAAAGCTAGAACTGTGAGCCGTTCAGTGGCCAGGAGTCATGGAGAAGAAGGGGTCTGAGAGCCACTTATAAGGGCTATAAGTTTGGTAGCTGTGCTATGCAAAAGCAGTTTTGCTTTGAAGCCGTAGTGTGGCCTGGGGGAAGACTGTGGACAGGGAGGTTTGCTCCATGGGTAGAGGGTTCTATGGACTAGTCTCAGGTGGCATCTTTTGGTCTGACCCATCAGCAGCCACCTCTGACCTCTCTGTGGGTCAGCTCCCATTGTGGGAAACCTTCCATTTTTTACAGGAATGCATGCCCAGCGTACTCTCCACCCTCCTAAGATAATCCTCCATCACATTCCCAGGGAGGAGGCAGGTGGCCCTCAGCAGGTAGTGATGATGCTGAGAAGGAGCAGTGAAAGGGATGCCAGCCCAGCCAGGGCATAGTGAAGAAGTGAGCCCACCTTGCAGAAGGGGGACCTGAATGTCCTGGCCATCCATGGCAACTCCTCCCCCATGCTTCAGCTTCACCAGGCTGTTGTGCAGGGTGGACAGTCGCACAGTGACAGAGCGGGTACAGACAGCGTCAGGGTCATCAGCACACTGCCAAGAAGGAATGCAGGATGACCTTACCATAGCCCCTGCCAGTCCAGCACTCAACTCAGGACCCATTTAACTAGGGAAAGTCACAACCCTAGAGAGCCTGGGCCTTCTCACATGGCATACCTCCATTTCATGGAATACACTGTGGGAATGGGGCCCCCAGAACACAAGAAGGTTCTAGACCCAGCCTTCATCCACACCCTTTCCCATCTGGCCTGGTCTTTTACAAGGAACTCTAGGCCCCTGGTTCTTCTAAATCTTTTGGCCTACTGACCTAAGAGAATTGGGGATTCCCATCCTTAGGGAAAATTCCAGAACTCTTACCTGTCCTCATCTTTGCTGTGTTCCTAGGGAAGAGTGTACACATGTGCCATGGAGCTCAGAAAAGAAGGTGGGCCCTGCTTGTCCCTAGCTCCAAAAGCAGAAGTTAGCTATAGGGGCTGTAGACTACACTTGAGGGGGGCTTTGCTGGGGGGAGTGGGTGACTGAGCAGCCCTGAGTGGGTATGGGTAGAGCAGGTGCCTTCTCCAGACAGCTAAGGAGAAAAGGAAGAGGCTTTCCATGAATGAGGCCACTGAAGGCTGAAGGAAGAATGCTCTCCTGCACAGAGGCAGGAGCTCATGCCACCCACCCGCTGCCCTCTCACCCTCTTGGTGCCTCCTGACAGACTGGCCTGGCCAAGCTCACCTGCACAGTCTCTATAACAATGGAGAAGGAATGGTCCTGGCAGTCCCGGGCCAGCAGGTACTGGCAGATCCCACTAAAGGTGAAGTGTCTGTTGTCAAAGCTCTTGAAGTGGGATTGGCCTGTGACGAGACACTCCCCTGGACGGACCAGAGGAAGAGGGTGAGAAGACACCTCCTGAGGTGGCACAGTAGCATGATATACAAGCAGGACCCTGAAGGGTCTTTTCCCCAAGCCAGTCTAAACTGAGTTGTAAAAGAGAATTCTAAGTCAGTTCCCTCTCCCCAAACAAGAATATGTCAGAACTGGTCATTCAGTCAAAACCTCCTTTTGTAGATAGGGCTATTCATAGAGGTGACATAGCTGTGCCCAGTGGCAGAGCTCTGGCCAGAACCCACAGCTCCTGACTCTCGATTCCTGCTGCCCTCACTCCTTCCCACAGCCCACTGCCATGCATTCTGGTCAGTGCCACAGCAGCAGCAGGTGGCAGCCTGCAAGCCTCACAGGACCTGGCTGTGGGAGGTTGGGGGAGCTGGCCGGCAGCACGGCTCTCTCTGACCTGGCATGTGGAGGGGCTCAGGGACACAGCTCTGCCCCAAAGAGTCCCTGATGACAAATGGGCAGAGTGGGCAGCCAGAGGCAGGGGGAGGGGAAGGAGCCAGCCCATGTCAGAGCCCAGCAGAGCCAGACTGGGTCTCCATCCTCAGCTCATCAGGGAGTTGGGGTGGGGGGAACTCTAAGGCCTCCTCAAAGGCAAATTCATGCTGTGACTTCATTCGGAACAAATGAGGGGCCAGGAGGCCATCTGCCCATGATCTCACCACTGCCCTCCACCCTCCATAAGACCCGCTCCTCAGCCCAGGCTGTCACATCCGTGGGTGGGGCCTGGGACTCTCCTCATCACCCTCCAATTCTGGGCCCTTCACACACTCCTCCTATCCCGTACTCACCCCAGGCCCCTCATGTCCTGCAGGGTGTCTGGGGGTGGGAAACTGCCAATGTTTCTGCCCTGGCTTGGAGACAACCCCATGTTCCCACAAAGGACCCATTGAAACTAAAATGGGCATTATTTCTTGTCAGCCTTCCTCTATGCATTTCCTCCATCTGTCCTCATCTCTGCAAATACCACCTCCATAGAGGGGGTATTTTGTCCCACAAAAGCCTCCTTCCCACACGACTCCCAAACAGCAGAGGCTGTGCTTTCCATGGCCTGAGCCCACCCTTACCCTGAAATTCCACCCAAGAGGGTTCCACTTGGGCCCATCTCCAGAAGTAATGCTAGGCACTATCACACAACCAGGTCCCTAACAGTCACAGGGAGATTCCTGCTGCCCCAAAGGACTACAGGGCAGCTGCCTCGTGCCTGTGTTTTCACTGACAGGCCAGTCAGGGCCAAGCTAGACTCACAGTTTTGTACCTGAGTGTGGTTCTGCCTTCCACATGCATTTAAAGGCACCCAGGGCCACTGATCCCTTCCAGGATGGCAGGGCCAGGAGGACACATCCAGCCCAGATGAAATTAGAGAAATTAGGGATGCCCCAGATCATTCCCATCACCTCCCCACTCCACTGTCCCCCAAAAGGGCAAGAACACAGGTGACTATTCATAGAAATCAGAACAGAACAGGTAAGAAGATAGTCAAAAGTCACCCCAGCTCACTGTGAATATCCTGGAATTCCAAATCCAGCAATGTCACAGGAAAGCCTTTCTAAATGACTATTTTTCAGAAACCACCATCATTGCACAAACAGTACATCTGGTCATTTGTGTCAAAGGTCCTAACCCTGCTGTGGTGAAATGGGTGGGAATTCTTTCCCCAGCCTCTCTGTTTTCTCAAGAGCACTCTTATCTGACTAAGAAACTGGATTTCCATTATCTTTGACAATGCCCAGGAAAAGAGGGGTCAATGAGAAACATGAAAATATTCGAAAGCAAAACCTTCAAGGCTAGAATCTAATCCTCTGATCTGGTTTCCTGCTCTGACCCCACTGATTTGTTGCTCAGGAATCACAAGTCTAAATATTATATGTAGCTTATCTCCTTGCTACAATTGAAGGACAGAGCTGCAAACACAGGAAGCCCAGGGAAACGAGTGGGTGTTCTGCCAGGTAGCAATTGGCCATGGGAGCAGGGACATCCGCACGAACAACGGGCCACATGGCCAGACTCACTCTCCTCTGCCCAGAATAGGATGCCTAGGCAGCCCCCGACAAACAGCCACCAGCCACCACCAGACAACAAAGTGGGTAATAAAAATTTGGAGAATAAATGGAAGGCAAGTAATTCTTAAAATAGCATGGTAGAACATCCAGAAGTTAAAGAAACAGTTCCACTCTTGTATTAATAGATATTCCAAAGAGAGAGAAGAAAGAAGGAAAGAAGGAAGGAAGGAAGGGAAAGAAAGAGAGAGAGAGAGAAAGAGAGAGAGAGAGAGAGAGAGAGAGAGAGAGAGAAACAAAGAAAGAGAGAAGGAAGGAAGGAAGGAAGGAAAACAAGCTAGATGTGGTGACACACAATATAATCCCAGGAAGCAGAAGCAGGAGGATGGTGAGTTTAAGTCCAGCCTGGACTTAAACATAGAGAACCCTGTCTCAATAAAAACACCTTTTTAAAAAGGGAGGAAGGGAGGGGGAGAGAAAGAGAAAGAGAAAAAGAAGGGAGAAGAGAGGAAAAATATAAAAAGAGAAAGAAAGAAGGGAGAAGAGAAGAAAAATATAAAAAGAGAAAGAAGAAAAAGGAGGGAGGGAGGGAGCGAGGGAAAGGAAATCGGAAGGGTGCATAGCTCGTCCTCTAAACAAACCCTTTGGTCTGTGGCAGGGGGGTTATCAGTTCTCCCTCTTTTCCCTCAGCCTTCTCTGCAGAAACATCACCCCACAAGCCTTCAGCAACACAATTCAGACTTCACCAAGCCTGTCTCTGACTCATAGGCAGATGTGCAAGGTGCACCCCTCAGCATGTGGGAGTCATCTCATTGGTTGTTCCTATGAGGTGGTTGTTTTCATCCCCAGTTTACAGAGAAGTTAACCTGGCCCAAAGTCCCAAAGTGGTCACACAGTGACTTGAGCACAGGTAGTCTGTCCAGCTTCAGACCAAAGCACTTGACGCCACTCTACACTGCCTCATGGGTTGGCTCCTGCAATTTCTCAGAAGCCCGAGTCTTTATGACCAAGCCTGTTGTCACTCTGATCCTGGGCACATGTAAGCACCTGCCAGTGAGCACAGGGACAACATAAAGCCTAGAGAGAAGAGAGTCCTGCTATGAAACGTGACACACTGGCCTGGCACAAGGGGCCCTGATGTGACTGCAGAGACTCAGGAAGTCAGAACTCCCAGATGAGCCTAGACACCTCAGAACACGCCCTCCTGTAGGAATGGCACCCCCCTGGTTTACTCATGGTGGTCTCTGTTAGTCAGGGATGTTCAGGACATCTTACATTCTGAAGACTTCAAACAGACTGACTTTGAGCCCCAAGGAATTACAGGGCTGGGTCAGAACCCATCAAGTTATCCTGAATCAACTGAGTAATGGATTACATTTAAGTCCTCCCCTCCCTGGGAAGACCCATCTTACCCATTTGGCCCACTGTTCCCTGCCACACCTTCCCCAACCCCCTCCCCATGCCAGTTCCTTTGGGCCTGCCCTGGGCCTCAGTCTTCTGACCCTGCATCATGAAACTGCTGCTGTGTGCTCCGGGAACATGACAAAGGCTCACGTTGATGGAGCACTTGCTGTGTGTCAGGTAATAACAGCCTCACGACAACCAGGGGATGAAAGTGCAATTATCACCCATTTTACAGATTCAGAAACTGTAACTAGTTGCTTGCCAGCTAGTGAGGGAAAGAACTAGAATTCCAACCAAGTTGGCTGAGTCCAGCCCCCATTCTAGGCCACCTTTATATCCTCATAGAATTTGAGGTACAAATCCCATGGTCACCCCCCAATCTTGCTCTAAAAAACTATCTTCCACACTACTCCACCATGAGCTTGAAATCCTATAACAAGGGCTTTATTCATTTGAGGACTAGTCCCTAGTAACAGCCATGCTCTGTCCACATTATCACTAACCAAAGTTTTACAGTTGGGTGGGAACTCATTTAAGCAGTTGTTTTGCAGAGGAAGAGGAATGGTTCCAGGTTACAGAAAGGGAAGCCTTTAGGCTATAGGGAAGATGCATGCTATAGTTTAGAAAAGACCCATGTATTAAAGGTTGGTTCCCCAGGGCAGTGCTATGGGGAGCCATTGGAAACTTTAAGAGGTAGGTAGGGGCTAGCAGGGGTCCTTAGTCACTGCGGGGATGCCCTCAAAAGGCATTGTAGATCCCACATCCTCTCAGTCTTTCTTTCTCTCTCTCTCTCTCTCTTTTTCTTTCTCTCTCTCTCTCTCTCTCTCTCTCTCTCTCTCTCTCTCTCTCTCTCCCCCTGGTCCTGGCTCCAGATGTGACCCCTTGCTCAAACACACGCTCCCACCATGATGTGCAGCCTTCACCAGAGTCCCAGACAAATGGGGCTGCCAGATCTTGGACTTGATCCTCCAGAACTGTGAGTCAAAATAAATCTGTCTTTATTCACAAGTGGCCTGTGTCAGGTATTTTGTTACAGTGACGTAAAGCTGACTAATGTGCCACAGCTTTGCCTACAGCTGCCCTAAGTCCTAACCCATAAGCAGAGGTGTGCCAGGGAGAAGTGGAGGTGTAGGTGGAAGTCACAGGAAGCCCTAGCTCCTCCCCACAGACTACTGCTTTCTCTCTAGCACTTTCCTCCCCTCCCACTACCCACACCCAGCACTCCATGCAATGCAGCCTTGAAGGTGACGCTTATGACCCCCACCTCCTGTGCCTCCTGTGTGCATGTCTTTATGTGACTTCTCTCTCCTTGCATCTAGACTGGATAAGTTGACTTGTTTTTTAGTGAATATAATAGAATAGAAATAATGGATGTCGCATCTGAGATTAGATTTTTCAATAACTAGGGCTCTTATCTTGGCTAGTCTCTTTTACTCTGAAATCACTCACTCCAAGGAAGCCAGCTGTCATGTCATGAGGCAGCCCCAGGGAGAGGTCCACTAGTGAGGGTGCAATGCCTGCTGGTTTGAATATGTTCCCAAAGTTTATGTGTTGGAAACAATCCACAATGCAGCAGTGTGGGGAGGTTGGGCCTAACAGGTGATTAGGTCATGAGAATTCTGTCCTACGGAATGGACTGAGGTCATTAGCACAAGAGTAGGTTGTTATAAAAGCAAGCTTGGCCCCTCTCGTTCTCTCACTCTCGCTTTCCTCGGTGGAATGAAGCAGCACAAGGACTCGTGCTAGATGCTGAGCCGTGGTCTTGGACTCCCAGCCTCCAGAATCACGAGGCGAATAAATTTCTGTTCATTATAAATTACCCAGTCTGCCGCACAGCATAAAAAGTACTAAAGATACCTGCTAATGAGTGAATGAATGAGCTTTAAAGTGACTCCCACTCACCCCGAGTCAAGCCTTCACACAAGACCACAGTCCCAGGCAATAGTTTCTTAACTGCAATTTCCTGAGAGACCTCAGTCCAGAGGCACTCTGCTAAGCTACACCCAGATTCCTGGTGTACAGAAACTATGAGATAATTGTTGCTTGTTTTAAGCTACTAAATTTGGGGATAATTTTTTGCACAGTAATTGATGACACTCTCATCTTATTCCAGAGAACCAGAAACGAGTTCTCTATTTACAATACCAGCTCCTTCAGGGCATCAGGAAGCCCTGGCCTGCTTTTTGCTTTACTAGAACTTTCATGTCTGCTCTTTCCATCAGAAGCTCTTCCTGCAATCACACCCTGGGAGATAAATATCCACATTGCCAGCAGAATCATGCCAAGGTATAGAGTTAAACCTGGGAGCCATGGGTGGAAATGAACAGGGAGGGATTAATCAACTAAACTCCAGAACTAGAGAATGAGGGTCAGAGTGGGGCTTTGAATGAGAGAAGAGTTCAGTGGCTTCGTTGGCAAAAATCAAACTACTCAGTAGACACAGTTGGCACTGGCTACCTGTTCCATCAAAGCATGGAGAAAATGTCTTGCATCCTTTGCAAATCTCTCTTCTAGATTTTCAGCAAAAGCCATCATGGACACAGTGGGTGCTCCAATGGTGGTTGGATGAATGGATGGATGGAAAGATGCTGGATGACCCTCTCTGGAATAACCAGTATTAAGACCTCCTAAGCTGGTAGTCAGTTTCAAAACATAAGCTAAAAGCCTGATTCCAGCTACTGGGGCCCACAGATCTTATGCAATGTTCATTATTTAGATATTAGCGGTTTTTCCTAGGCTAACTATAGCAACTTCATATGGCCTTTTGTGTTTGGTTGGTTGGTTAGCTGGTTGGTTGATTGGTTGATTCTGGTGGTACAAGGGTTGGAACTCAGAGCCTTATACTTGGTAGGCAGGCACTGTACCACCTAAGCTATGCCCCCAGCCCTCTTCTGCTTTAGTTACTTTTTAGCTAGGTCCTCTCACTTTTTGCCCAGGGCTATCCTCAAACAGAGATCCTCCTACCTATAACCTCCACAGAAGTTGGAATCACAGACAGATACCACCAAGTTTGCCCCTTCATATGGTTTTCAAAGGGCTCCTTTCAAGAGGTGTGGCTGTGTTAAATGGAATACAGATATCACTTTCAGGAGCAATCTTTTGTCTTTCCTGTTTTCTTCAGGGATTAAGGAAAGACAGCCTGACTTGTTGGCCATCCCTGAGCTAAATTACCCTTATTGTCCATCTCCCATCAAATTCCAGAATTTTCTCAATGTTGGGGGAGAGGGGCACTGGACCAGGTCCTGAATGACCTTAAAGCCTGTAATCTGCACAGATTTCTGATATGATCCTAGATATCAAAGCCTAGCCACTCTTGGCTCACCATGGTCTAGAACCAGAAAAGGGAAGGGCATCAGTATAAGTCAGGCAGTTGTAAATTTGCATCCTGGTTCTGTGTGAGTCTGGGCAAGACAGAATCCTCTCAGAAATCTTTCTGAGTCTGTTTCCTCTTTTGTAAGATGAGAAAAGATTGTGCCTTCCCCAAGTTTATAACAATAAGGTAACACATGCAAAGCACTTAGCACAGTGCCCAGCATATCAAAAAAAAAAATCATAAGGGTAAATATGAAGGGGAAGGTCTAGGGTTATTAGAGGGTGAGACAGAAGGGAGCTTTGAATGGGCAAGGCTTGTAGTAAATAGAGTTGGGGCCTAACAGAGGAAAAAGCCAAGGATAGAGATTACAAAATAATTTTCCCGAAGAAAATTTTTTCAGGAAGGAGGGAATCATTTTGTGGCCTGGTTCTCCTAGCTCTTGGACCACCCTTGGTCTGCATATCAAGCATTACAGACAGTTCCATTAAAGCTCTCACTTCAAGCCTAATGAGTTATTAGCACCATCTTCTTAATTTTCCAAAGAATTTGTGTCTCCTTTGTTTAGTCTCTCATGACCTTATAGGTCTCACAACTCATCAGCCTTAATCCTCAGAGCAAACAGATGATGGAAAGAGCAACAACACCTTAGCCCAGCCACCTCCTGTGCTTTCTCCCCTTTCAGTTGAGGCTGGTCTCCCTTCTCTCCCTTTCTCTTTCCTCCTCAGGCCCCCAAGTTAGTGGGGCAGGCATAGTACTGCTGGTATCTGAAACCAGAACTGTGGTCAGGTGGTTGCAGAGAGGCCAGCTCCTCCCTGCTTTGATGTTGGTTCCCCTGCCCATGGAAGGAAGGAAGGGAGAGTGCAAGCAGTGGCCTACCTGGGCACTCTTCATTGCTGCAGATCCACAGACTGTTCCTGCAAATGCTGTTGGGGAAGGAAGTATAGGTCACTGGTAGTTCTGCAAAGGTAAAGGCACACAAGTGAAATAGAGCTCACCACGGAAATCACAGCCCCCTTGCGAAGGATTTGGGAGAAGAAGGGGGAATATGCTACAAAATCTTTAGGAAGTTAAAGTCATACAAGACAAGGATTTAGTCACAAAGGGACCTTGGAGATGTTGCCAAGGAGAAGAAACTGACAGGGAAAACAAAGAGAGAAAAGCTAGGGTATCTAACGTCCCTGCTCAATACTAAGAACTCCTTCACGTACAGCAAGTGGAAGTCACAGGGAGATGTTGAAAGGAAGCACATGGGACTGCCAAGCAGGGGAAGAGATTGAAGATTTGGTTTCCCTGATGCACAGAGGACAGGCACAGGGGACCTCTCCCAACCTCTATGCATATCTGTAATGTAATCCTTGCATTATCATTGCCTTCCACACCTGTCCCCCAATCCCCTATCTCAGCCCAGGCCAGCACCTGGCTTACCTGCTGCTCTCTCTCTCTCCTGCCCCAGCTTCACCCTCCCAAAGCCCCCTGGACAGCCCCAGTTACCAGGTGTTGCAGTCCTGAGAGATGGAGGCTCCTGGAGGGTACCGCTTCCCAGAATGCACGCAGGAGCAGTCGGCACTCTGCACACAACGGCCTTCATCAAGGAGCTGTCCCTCTGGGTACAAGGGCATCAATGCAAAGATCTCACCATCATCATCATTCTTCATCTCTCAACTACAGAATTCCCATGGGCTATCACAGGCTTCCTGCTTCTTCCAGGAAGCTCAAAGAACTTGTTGTGTGATGCAATGGGCCAGATGAAGAAATGGAGTCAAGAGTTTTGTTCACTGTCTTCCAGTAGAAAAAGCAATGAGTAGAAACACAGGACTCACTCCCCATAATTAAACACAGCTCGTGACAGAGCTCCCCAAGATAAACTTTCTAAAGCAAAGCCCTTTTTCATCTGCGCTCACATGACAAACACAGGACACGTTTTACAAGACCTTTCTGCCAGACTGGTGTCCTGACCCTTAGCTGAGAAAACAAACTGTAGCTCAGATAGGGCCACAAGGTCTGTGAACAAAGTCAGTGTTGGGATCCAGACCATCTTAGTTCTCAAGACACAGTGCTTTCATGGATACGGTACAACAGGAAAACATAAATTAAAAATAAAGACCAGCTCAATCCTGATCCCTCTTACAAAGACTTCTAAAAACTAAATAAAAGGCCTCTGATTTCAGCAATGAGGAAAAAACACAAGTGGCCTTCATTCCTTTTCCAAAACCAAGGGCACTGGCCAGGTCTTCGATTTGTAAATAAAGTGGGAAGTTTATTACCAGGGCAGCTGCAGCCATCCACACATTGCTCCTGACACATTTCATTGATAGGCAGGCTCTGGCAGGTTCTGGTGCAAGGAGACACACACTCCTTATACTCCATGCCAGCAGGGCATGCTGGGCCTGAAAGAGAGATCAAAGGAGTCTCCCCAGAGCAGTTCCCACCTGCACAGCATCTTCCAAGCCATGCTGTAATCAATCACAGGTTCCTTTGCCCCTCTGACTGCTTGCTCTGTCTTCAGGGCTCCAGGGGCCATCTCTGCCCCAATGGCCCAGGTGTCCCCGAGACCAACCTTCCCTGAAGGAGCATCTCCCACTTGTGAGGCCCTAGATAAGAACTATCATGAGTGTTGGAGACCACCACCCCTTCCTCTGGTCATCTAGTCTCACCTAAAACCTTCTTAAGGTGACACCAATTCCCTCTAGACTGAAAAGGTATGGCATCCATAGACCAGCAAGGGACCAGTGGTGTTTGCTCAACTCTTATTCCTCCAAAAACCCCTGTTCCTGACAAAATAGGTCCAATCAAATACTCCCTCCCCAGCACAGGGCACAGTTTATTCACACCCACTTTGCCTGTATGGCGACCCTCATCCTATATTTATTTATACGTTGCTGCAGGGCCACTTTTGGTGCTTTATCACCTAAGGATCACTCTGTTCTCTCCTCTGGACCCAGCTTCTCATGGGCAAGGACTGGCTCTCCTCATACAACTGCCCGAGACCTTTCTCCAAGGTCTATCCAATTTCTCTTCCACCCTAAGGAAATAGCCACTCCCCCCACACAAAGAAGAAGCCAGCTGCTAACCTCCACCTTTCACACCCCCACAGCACAAAGGACAGACTCTGATTTCCAAAATGTTTGCCACACACTGAAACACACATGTGCAGAGTCAATATCTGCCAGCACCTGGCTTCCATCAGTCACATATGTGCGTAATCATGGCTGACCATTTGTTCACCTGCACTACTTTTGATCAGTCTGGGGAGAGTAGAAGCTTCTTATGAGGTGACCCAGGGATGGTGACAATGACCAGGGGCCTGATGAGATTACAAAATGACAGGCATAGGTGTTGCAATGACAAATGATGTGTGTGCCGGCTGAGTTAATAAAAGAGAAGACTTAATGAAAGCTTTCCAGTTTCTCAGGGATGACCAGATGGGCAGCTTGCCCAAGGCCCTGCTTCTCCTTAATTGGGACAGGCAGGCGGTGAAGACATATCTCAGCAACTGCCGAGATTTCGGTCAGAAGTGGAAAACATTTTGTTAAGTCCAAAGGATGGATTTCCTGAGGGAAGTCAGGGGATGCAAGGGGACATGGCACGAAACAGAGACACAGACAGGACACAGCCCTGGAGAGGCCTGTTCGGCCTCAATGCAGTCTTCTAAGGGAAGGGACTGCTCATAGGACCAAGTGGCAGAGGACAGGAGCCATTGGGGAAATGGATGTGGGAATATGTGACTCTGTGGGCTGACTGTTATGTGGGGAGGGTGCACATCATGACACAGCTCCAAAGCTTCCTGGGTGCCATTGCTCCAGGGCAGACAGGCCCTGTGTCCAGCATGGAAAGGAGGGACAATGACTTACGGCACATGCTGTGGTCAGTCCAACCATACAGCACCATCCCCTCCTGGGCACAGGTCCGAGCATATTCTAGAAGAGCAGGGCATGCACACTCCAGCGCTTCAGTACACGTGCACAAAGTCATTTCACAAACGGCCACAAAGGGCTCAGGATCCACCAGAGGATGACAGCGGGCGAACACTGAGGCACTCTTCAGTAGCTGGCACTGCTCCCACAGGGCCTGGGGGGACAGAAGGGAAGAAAGTGCCTCAGCATGACAACCCTGCACTCACTCACTGTCTGAGGGTGGCACGAAGGAAAACCAAGGAAGGACCCTCAAGACCCAGGACAACACCTGGCACCCTAGCAGGGGCTTAGTGATATTTGTAAAAATCAATCAGTTCTTTTTTTGTCTTTTTTTCCTTTTTTTTATTATTTTCATTGTTTTTACATTTAAACCAGTTCTTTTATCAGAGAAAAGATATTGACACATAGCATGTGAGGTAGACCAGGGCTAAAGTTACATCCTAGACTGGAAATGCAGAATTTGAGGCCCTCGAGCTGCTGTGCCGGCCATGTCCTACCTAAGAAGAAAAGGGTGGAGGGAGAGAGGGAGGACTGGGTCTGGAATTAAGCCATTCAGCTTCAAAGTCCAGTAATGCTGGTCAACAGGTGTTCTGCACTGACCTAGCCACCTCTACTCCCTGACCTTGAGCTTCACTATAAATAAGGAGGTGGTACAGATTCCTGAGCCTCACCTTCAGGGAATGAAGTCTGAAGCCTGGGGATGGGGTTCAGTTACATTTTCTGGAACATTCTCCAGGTGATTGCCAGGACCATGGGACCAGTTCTCACCAACAACAGCCTGTTAGGATTCTAGGAATCTTTCCAGGCACACTGTGCCCGGCAAGAGATATTCTTAGACTTTACCCTTTGTTGATACTCTCAACCTAATAATTGTCATTTATTTCTTCTGCTAATTCATTACTGTAAATACTCCTACATGTTTTGCTTATAAACATCTCTGCAGTCTGTGTTTTAATGATTCCAAATGCCTATTTTTTTTACAGTTTAACATCTCTGAAGTTGAAGTACACCTACAGTGAATGTCATACTTCTTTTTTTTATTTTTATTTTTTCGGTGGTACTGGGTTTTGAACTCAGGGCCTCATGCTTGCTAGGCAGACACTCTACCACTGGAATCACACTTTCAGTCCTCTTTGTTTTGGTTATTTTTTGAACAGGGTCTCATGCTTTTGTCCAGGCTGGCCTGGACCTCGATCCTCTCATTTATACCTCCAGTGTACCTGCAATGACAGGCATGTACCACCATACCCAGCTTATTTGTTGAGATGGGGTCTCACTAATTTTTGCTCAAGCTGTCATTGTACTATGATCTTTCGAGCTTTGCCTCCCAAGTAGCTGCAAGTACAGGCATGAACCACTGCACCTGGCCCTGGGTTTCATTAGTGGCCTTTTCTTTCTTAATGTTACATAGAAAAATGACATTAACAAACCAGTGATATCTTAGATTTGATGCAATAAAATTGCTATCAATAAAATGATCCCTGGCTGAGGGTGTGGCTCAAGTGGTAGAGCACCTGCCTTGTAAGCACGAGGATCCCACAGCTTCTTTCATGCATATGTATCCCATGTTCTACTGGAAGCCTGCCGTTGGTGAAAGGACTTAATAATCTCCAAACAAAAAGCAAAAAGCACAAGATTAACTAAATGGAAAGGCTCAGCCCTGGAGCACAAATGAGAGCCAATCATTGTTTGGAAAGTGGACAGTAATTTTAAAAAGGAAGTCAATTACCAGTTTTGGGGAGAAGGAAACCCAATCTGCTCAAACTGTACAAGTGATCTCCAGACCAAGCCAAGGTAAATCAAGAGCGAGGAGCAGAGCATGGGCCTCCTGTTTTGTAGCAGCGTGGGAAGCCCAGACAAACAGAAATCTGACCTGCCCTGCTCACTATCCTCAAAATCGAGGCACGCTGAACTAGGATATTCTGTAGTCCTGGGGAAATCAGTGCTCTGCCCACAGCAGCCCTGTGTTGGGGTCCTGCCTTGCCTGGCCAGCCCAGAGTCCACCTTCAGAGCCTGGCAAGCAGCTGCAGCCTGAACACAGCAGACCTCAGTCTAGGAGGCCAGGGTCCAGCTGACAGACAGCAGCACCCCTCCCTGGCCCAGCTTTCTGAATTCCCACCCATCACATCCATACCTCCATGACCAGTCACTGCCATGGGGTCTTAGGCTAATTAGCTCACCTGGTGGAAAAGGGGAATAGCAATCCTCATACTATCTCATGGGTTGCTGTGAAAATGCCCAGTGCACCATGGTGCCTAGCACCTAAAAGGCCATCAATGAACAGAGGCTATTGTCATGAGTCCTGAGGCCACTTAAGTCTCAAGTTACATGCGTCTTTCTAGTGGCCACTCTGAGAGTTTGACAAAAGGGGAAACGGGTTTCCAAACACAATGACCAGGAAGAGTGACAGAGGCAGGCAGGCCTGTCTGGACCTCACTTTGACTTCCACAGCTCCAACTTCCATATGCCAGCTGTGTGAGTTTGGGTCCATTGCCCAGCTCTCTCTTCTCTGCAAAATGGGGAGAATGGTCACAGTTCCTAGGTGAGAAGCCTGTAGTAATGACTGAATGGAACCATGCATGTAAAAAGTTCATCCCAATAAATCTCTCGTATCATCATCATCATCCATCTATTGGCCACCAGAGAGGTCCCTTCTACTGTCCCTCCACCATTAAGTTTATCTTAGATAATGGCAAGTATGTCCCCAGCAGGACAGGACACCTTTGTCCCTTTTTGTTTCTATCTCCCTGGGCTGTAGAAGATGAACGGTCACCACAGCAACATTACCACTTCTCTAGTATCTTGGGTGCTCCCGAGTTCTCCAAGACAAACTAGTGGGGAGGGTCCTCTCTTCTTTGTGGTAGATAGGTGTAACAGGCTCCATCCTCACTGGCCAGTTGAGGCTCAAGGAAGGAGGTTGAGCCACGGTCTACTTCTTTCCAGTTCCACCATACTGCCCACCTCTTCAAAATGCCATTTAGGAAGTGATGTCACAGCACACTCAGAGGGCAGCTGAGGGTGTCCAGAGAGAGCCAACTGCTCAGGTTCTTGCCTACCTCTTCCCCAAACAATAATTCAGAATCCCATGGGGTTTTAGTAGGGATTGTCACCCTCTCCAGGACCAAAGAAGCAGTCCCAGCACTACAAGACCAGCTCCTGCAGGCACAGGTCCTGGGAACTAGAGATTCTCACTGGGCCAACACAGTATCCACAGGAGAAAGAAGAGCCAGACTACAGGCACCTTCCCTATACAGAGCCATGGCAAAGCAGAGGCCAGCCTGGGCCATTTCCAGCTGGCCCACATCAGTCTTTATCCAGCTCAAAGGAAAACTGGGAACAGCACTCCAGCACATTTCCTAGGAGGCCCCTTGAGGTATTAAATGGTTTATAGAAAGCCTTAGCAAGAAGGGTATTGTCTGACAACTTTCCTGAAGGATGGGAGCCATGTCTGAGGAAAACAGCCATCTCCCTTCTTAGAAAAATTTCTTTGGTCTCCACCACACATGCTTGAAATCTGGCTAGGACTTCTCCCTCAACAGAAACAAAAGGAAAGTCTATACCTCAAGTCTTCCAGACTTGTCCTCAACTTGGTCCACCAGAGTGACCACATTCTGAGTGTTGGGCAGGACTTCCAGACATCTTCCAGCATCTGTAGCCAGATCTGCCCTCACCCCACAGTTGTACTGCAGTGGCATAGTTAGCTGCCCCTCCCAGGCTTCCCTATTCCCCTACAGGCCAGGCCAGGCTCTGAGACAGGCACAAAAATAAATTCAAGATGGAGTTGATATCTGTGCTCTCAGAATCATGGCAGAGACATTGTTAGACATTGTTAAGTGGTGACCAAAGCATGCACTCTATAAGCACTGACTGTCTGGCCTGTAGGTCTCTAGAAGTATGTCAGATAGACATAAACTGCAAATCTTCCTGTAGCCCACCCTGGCTTAAAGGGCAAAGTTCTAGCTCATTAGGAAGGCAGGAAGGACAGACCTTCTATGACCAATCCCAGCCTATCCCCTCATCTCAACTCTCCCCCTCCCCACTCACGAATTTGTGGAAATTTTGTGAACATAGCCTCATGTTTTGTTCTGCTTGTTCCACCCTACTGTGTCCAGGCAGTGTGCCAGGCACAAGGAATGTGATGGAAAGCACCTAGAGTGGGTTCCAGACCTTGTAAAGCTACCTGTCCACCCCTCTGCCCACCGGCATTTCTCCACCAACCCCTTCACCACACCTCAGTTCCAGGCACCTTTTCGAGCAGGCTTTCCTTGTTCCCCAGCTCCCCTTCTTCCTGCTGGGTTAGGAGCTCCCACAGTCCTCTGGGTGCCTCCACTAAAACCATTCTCCATTTCCCTGCAAGTTTTTCAAAGACATCTATATTTGCAGGGCACATGTACCAGGTAACCAGGACATACTGGATCAAGCTTAACAGTAATGAACATAACCTTAAGTAAGTCCAGTCCTTAGGGGCTTTCAGTCTACCTGAACCAGGTATCCCATAAGACTGTTTACACGCAGGCTGAAGACTTGGTCCCAGTTTAGGGATCTCTTCCCTAAAGATCACAGCTGGAAGAAACCTGTAACTGAGATGCCAGGAAAAGCTTCCTAAAATGAGGCAAAGTCTGAACCAGGCCTTAATGCTGTGTAGGACTTAGGTGCAGGGCAGGAGGGAAAGCATACCAAGAAGACCCAATGGCATACATTCAAGCAGAACAAGATACAGTAATTAGAGCTAAACCTTGAGACCGAGAGCCAGGGTTGCCACAGACTACCCCACTAGGACATTGACCTAGTAGGTTAGCACCTCAGCTTCTCTCAGAAGGTAGGAAAGCCACCCATCCCCATCTGATTCCAACTCTAACTGAACTCTCTTGAATGAGTTTGTATCCTCTGCCTGGGCCTATGCCCCCAAACCCTTCTGTGTGTTATTCCCTAAGTGAAGTTTTCAGAGGCAACTTTCTCATTCTTCCCAGGTTACTCCATCTTCTTTAGGATTTGGTGAGCAGGTCTGTGCTCACTTCACCCAGGCCATCCGTGACTTAGTGCTGTGGTTTGGACAAGTGTGCCCCAAGGGCTTATGTATTGAAGGCTTTGGCCCCAGCCTGGAGTGTTACTGGGAAGTGGTAGAACCTTTAGGAAATAAGGCCTAGCGGGAAG